TCTGGATTAAATTACTGATCCTGTGGATCTTATCATTGAAGAAGTCATCTGTGAGTCAGGAAACAATTGCTTGCTTTTCATGGCAGCTTGCCTCTGGGAGACTGGAAATATTCTAAGGAATGACTCACTCCTGATAGCTGATACATGATTAAAAAAAAAAAGGCAAAAATCTTAAGTAAAAAATAACTTTTACTTTTAACACCGAGCTTTTAGGTGGTTTTTGAGAACAGTTAGGGAAAAAAAATCTAAACTACATTTAGTCCCATTTTGTATGTGAATTAATGAAGCTGGACTTTGCCCCTTGTTCTAAAATTGTCTGTAGATTCTTCATTACTTCCAGGGCAAACACTATGGAGGCCTGCTGACTGATGTTATCAGCAGTTTTGTTTCATAGTTTTTGGGGAGAGGCCTGTAAAATGTTCATGTTTTTGTAATTTTGAGATGGAGAATGGAACATCTACATCCTGTTTTCCTAACACAATGCCCTCTGACCCCTCTATTTAAAACCTTGGCTAGTCTAACAGGGATCTTTGGTTTCTTTGCGACAGGAAAAGCAATAACATTAACCATTAGGGCAAAATGCTAAGTAAATTTTAGGGATTTCATCTCAAAGTAGGTGGAAGCCAAGTTAATAAATATAATTTCTGAGTACATTGCAGTGAAGTCCTAGTTCCTTTGGCATACGAAGACTTCATTTACCATACGTAAACTTCATTTACCAGTGGAGCTGCTCATAATGTAGTGCTGTGTCGGTGTGTGAGGGTCTAGGGACACCTGAATTACACCTTTTCTAGTCATTCTTCTCTCCAAGGGCTCAAAAGAAAATAGATGAAGCAGACAACAATAAAAAACACCACAGCCAGATAATTCTTTTCTTACGTCCGTCACATTTTTCTTCCTTGTAAAGTATGTGCCACTGCTGTTTCTACACCACAGGGCTGTTGGAAGTACTGCATAATTTTTTTTTTTTTGGCTTTTTGAGACAGGGTCTCATGATGCAGTCCAGCCTGGCCTTCAACTCACCTTGTAGCCCAGGCTGGCCTCAGCCTCCCGAGTGCTGGGATCATAGGAGTGGCCACCACACTCATAGTTGAATACAAGTGAGGCACGAGCAGTTATGTTTCTCTGTTGCCTTTCTGTGTTTTGAAGTAATAATAGTGCCAAGAATACAGCGTTGAAACCTAAACTCAATGATCTGAATTCTCTTCCAAACAGGCAATGCTTTTTTTCCCAAACCCTAATTTGACATCTCAGCTTTTTTTCAGTGCAATGCTAGTTTTCTAGGGACAGAAGAAACAGAGAGAAACACTGGAACAGAATGCTTCTTAAATATTTGTAGCTCAGGGGCACAGTGCCTGCCTGGCAAACACAAAGTCCTGAGTTCGAATTCCAGTACCAAAGAAAATATTCTAGACAGGATCTGTCATAAGCCATTTACTACTGTGGTAGCAGCCCTGAGTGAAGCTCACGTGGCTAGAGTTCAGTGAGATTGTGAAGGAGAGAGGGAGGAGGCCCACCCACAGAGGAGCGGCTCGTAGACCACATCAGCCTTCCACTCTGAGAAAGGAGACATGGCAAAGAAGACAGCCACAGACCAGACCCCCCTTGATTTTTCCTGGCTCTAAGAGGAACAAAGACTCTAAGAGGCCATGCTCCCCTTTTTGCTGACTTTAGCACAGCCAATGAAATGAATTTGGAGTTGAAATAAGCTGCTTCAACCTTGGGAAAAAGTATGCCAAATCTAGGGATCAAAAGGATTATGTTCATCTCTCTTCCACCAAGTGACCAAATATCAATTTTCCAGAACTTACGTCAACAAAACCAATTTAGCTAATGAACAAATCTAGTTCATTAAAAGCTAAAACATGGACTATCAATTTGGCAAATAATCAATTCATAGAAAACTGATACAGCCGTATTTTCAATAAAGGCATATTGCTGCTGCTAGATGCAGAGTGGGGGTGGAGTGAAGGCCAGGTGGGCATCTGGGAGGCCGGCTCTAGCCTTTTCCCTGTGGGGCCTGGGCCCATTGCTCTGAGAGCTTCCAAGTTTTCAAATGAAGCTGAACTCTGAGTTTTTATGTGAACTGTACTGACGTTTGCAGTTTGGCAAATATGTGAAATTCAAAAACAAAGCTAACACTGCAGGGCAAATGCAGTCCATCTGAGGGCCAGGCTCACCTGTGTTCTCCAGCTTGCAGTCTCTCCTGCAGGTCCTGGGTGCTAGCTGGTACCTTCAGCTAGTGGGATGCAGTGCCAAAGTGTGAAGATATATATACATATACATTTCAACATGGATTTTGGGTTTCTTCAACCAAATTTGAGTATGTAGTACCTCTCCTGAAACAAACAAATCTTTTTCTTAAGGAAAACAAAAGCCTTAGAAGCTAGAGTAGGGAGTTGACTGTTAACCCTGAAGATAGAAATGTAGAGAAAGTGAAAAGATCTACTAAGTGTTTAACTAGTAAATAGAGGTTTGAGAGCTTCAGCTAGAATTCAGTGAGTGTAATAGGAACTCTGAGTGGAAACAGTTAACATTTTTCAGAATGTGGTAGCAAGAATTAGGGAAGAGGTTTAAGAAGACCTCTCTTGAAATTTTTACTGTCCTTTGTTTTAAGAGGAAGTTTAAGGGGAAGCAGTATTCCTATAGAATATTTTTGAATTATTAATTTTTAATTTAAAATATTATCAAATTTTTTGAGGAATGTATGAATTACAAGAAACTGTATGATGCTTTATAAGTCATTTTAAATTCTTTTCAATGTTTTAGGCTCCTCGTAAAGATTGCTAAGGAAGGTCATTGCCTGCACTTCTTTGGCTGTGTCTTTCATATTTTTAAAACAATGTGTTTTTTGTTGGAGGTTCCTGATAAATTGAATGCTTTGAATTATTTAAATATGTCTTCTAGTTTTAAACATTTATAGATTAAATATACATTTCTTTCTGTCAACTCTAGATTATGTGAGGGGAGGTGTGCCTGAGACTTGGAGGAAAATAAAATATACCTTTTAAAGATCCAAACAATGTAGTCCTTAATTTGAAATCTCTCTCTTGGGATGTCCTTATCTTCTCAAAATATTTCATTGGGAATCTTATGACAGGAGGTTTCTTCTAGGGTTTTAGTATTCTCCAAGCTAGCAATGTTATAGAATAAAAGCAGTCTTTGTGTTTCCCTTTGAATAATTTTTTTTAAATAGTTAAGAAAACAGGCTTCATATTTAAAGTAAATGATTAGAGTCATCAATTGCGCTTACTGGGTTTTAGCTGTAGGAATTAACTTGCAGCTGTTTCTCAGAGTGAAAGTTGGGTTGGTCTTCTAATTCTAAGGCCTGATTCATTTACATAAATGGGAGTTTGCTCATCCTCACATCCTGCTCTTTTTCTCTTTGCCCTTTTAAACTATTTTGTTGTATGCTTGGGATACTGCAAGCAAACAGAGCAGTTCTAGGATGAGAGTTAGATTTCACTTTTTTGGGTCCTTACCTCTGCTGGAAATGTTTCTCTTCTAGCAAGAGGAAAATTAAAGCTAGGAGTCACTAGTCCAGATAGCACAGAGCTTATCAAATGGAAAAGCACTTTATTGGTGGAGAGTAAAATTTTGTTCCTAATTGTTATAGATTTTATTTCTTATCCATCCTATCTTTTGTAAAGCCTTTCTTTGGGAACATCTTGCTTTTCAATTAAAAAATCCTGGGAAATTTGAAAAGAGAGGGATTTGGAGAACTTGATTATTTCCTATGCTTTTTAGAAGCATCTAAATGGTGAGGCCTGCCAAAAATAGTTACTCAAAGAATATTTACCTCGGGGCTGGGGATTTAGCTCAGCGGCAAAAAGCGCCTGCCTGGCAAGCGCAAGGTCGTGAGTTCGGTTCCCGGTACCGGAGAAAAACCAAAAAAAAAAAAAAAAATTCACCTCAAGATTGATCAAAACAAGAGGCAATATGTACAGAAATTTTCTTTTATAATTGAATTTCATAATGGGGAAATTTCCCTAGCATATCAGTGTATCCTTTTATACACTGCCTATTGCCCTCCTTACACTCCATCCTTGCTACTTTTGAGATGCCCATTTCTACATCATCTATAATATTAAAAATTGAAGTACATGTCTTCTGCATTTTTTTTACTCTATGAGCAAAAAATGTGTTTACTGTTCTTTTAGGGACTTTTTATTCATTCATTCAGCAAATATTTTAAAGTCCTTATTACATACTAGAGAAAATAAACCCATTGTATATATGAATAAGAGAAAATAAACCCATTAATACACATAAGTATTAATTTTAAAATGTTCAGGTATTCTGCAAGAATGACCTCACCTGAGATTATTTTGGCAGGTTACTATGATTTATTGATAAAGAGCCTTTCCCTTGATAAAATAGGTGAAATAACAATTGCTTTAATCCATGTTACCCTCTAATTTTAACTCACTTCTGCTGTCTATAATAAGACCACAAGTCCCTTTTATACAAAACCTGTCTTTTTATTTCATTTAACTTTATTTTTCATCTAGTGTAACTTTTTTGGAATAAGAAAGATGTCTTATAGAATATATTTGATTTGAGATCTCTAGAAATAGTAGTGATATACATGCTCAGAAAAAAATGTTTTTGTTTGACTTCTTATCATTATTTGATATTACAACTTTCTTCTCTGTAAAGGAGGAGACAGCATAATCTTCCCTTCCACTCTCCAGAGAAGGCTTTATAGTGAAGTTAGTGACTTATCAAACTCTAATTCAGTCTCTTAAAGGGTCTTTTAAAATATCTTTTTGAAAACTGAATGTTCCCTAGAGCACAATAATAAGTATAAAGTGTTAGCCTCTTAAGTTAAAAAAGTTGAATGTTAGTTATTTTGAATATTAGTTTTTTTCTTTTAAATATATTAATAATAACTATTATTTTTGTTTTAGGATAATTGTATTCTTTAATCTGAGGAACTAAATGGTGATTTAAAATATCTGATAAAAATAATTTGTTTTTCAATATTCTTTTGCTCTTAGATAATTTGGACACTTGGGATTTACTCATTTGCCTGCCTTCAAGGAAAACAGATGGAAAACCCTGTGTATTCAAGGAAGACATGTGCCAATTAGGTTTACATCAAAAGGTAAATAGCCTAAAAGTGTGCACAAATTTTTATCAGCCCTATGATATTATCAGTGGTATTTCATGGCCCATAATGTTTTTAAAAAGTCATGAAAAATTACAGCCACTAATTACATCTTGAGATGAAGTTGCAACTGACCATGTGTGCTAATCAGCTTTCCATTGCTGTGACAATGCACTCAAGAAAATCAGCTTATAAAGAGGAAGGATTTATTTTGGCTCAGGCTCATAGGTTTGGGTCCATGGTCACTTGACCTTGCTGCCTTTGAGTGTATGGTAAGGCAGGATGTCATGGGCAGGAGCATGTTGTAGAGGAAATTGCTCACCTCACAATGGCCAGGAAGTAGAGAGAGAAAGGAAGAACCCAAGTCTTAATGTCACCTTCAAGGGCATACTTCCAGTGACCTAATTTCCTCCACATAGGCCCTACTTCCTAAGGATTCTGCCACTTCTCACTAGTGCCAAAGGCAAGCCTTTATGCTACAGCCTTTAGGGAGATGTAATGAAAAACAGAACACCATGCCTTACATACTTTACCATAGAAGAGTCACAATTTTTTGTGTGACAAAATAGCACTCAGTTCCAGGGGCTGTCAAGTAGTTTTTACTCAGTAATACCCAAACTAGAATTCTGTAGCCTATGAAGTAGTAGTTACTTTGGCCACTTCTTTTTTCAAAGTAGTCTTTACTTGATTCTCATTGCTCTAGCCTTTTCAAACTTATCTTAAATGACAATAAGAGGCATACAACTTCTTATTAAGTTTTAAAATTTGACAGGCAGTATTTATTGTCTAGATTGTATGAACTTTTGTCAATGCTTTTACAAAAGTTAATTAAAAACTATGCAACAGAGAGTTGATGCTTATAACAAGTCTGTGAAAAAAAGTGCCAAACCAAGTTATTTTAATCCCTAAATGGAGTTATAGTAGCCTATTGTAATTACTTGACATCTTTTTCAAGGATAGTCTGGATATTTTCTTTCCTCTTCTGTTTATTTCCTTGACCTCTCAGTTAGGCACAGTCATTTGGGTGTCTTTATGCATCTTCAGCCATCTTTTCTGTCTTAGTTACTTTTCTCTCACTGCTGAGACCAAATGCCTGACACCCAAAGTTAAAGAGAGAAAGGTTTATTTAGCTCACAGTTTGGGGAGGTTTCAGTCCATAATTGGCTGTCTCCAAGGCAGGGTGGCAAGTGGCAGAGGGGCAGCACTTCTTGGTGGCAGAAGACAGCTAAAGCAGCAAGAGTGAAAAGGAGGAAACAAGCCTCTTTCTGCCCCTTTTATCTTATCCAGACTCCTGGGATTAGGGCAATGCCAATCCAGTCAGTGGACTGATCCAGCAATCACCCAGCCTTAATCCCAGTACCTTTAATTGCAACATTGCCCTACGAATCAGTCACAAACTCTGGATTCAGCTACCTCTGAAAAAGCCTGTCACACATGACATCTATTCGCTGTTTTTATGAAGTTATCTTTTTCTCTTACACTGGGGCTCAAGCCCAGGACCTCATACAAGCTTGGAAATTCCTGTACCACTCAGCCAGAACCCTCTGTTCTTTCCTTCATAGCCATTTTTTGTGCTCATTCTTTAAATGCCTGTGTTCCCCTACACTGTTCCTCAAAATTTAATTATCATTTGCATTTGATGATTCCAAATCTGCAGCTAAAGTTCAGAACACTTGCTCAGGCTTCCAGTTTGAATATGCCTGAGCAGCTCTACTTGGATGTTCTCAAATTCATCCCACTTACTATTGGTTCATTATTTCCCCCTGTAAATTTGATTCTGCTCTTGCATTAGAAGATGTACAGAGCTTCTGCTCCGTTGGTCAGAAACATGGTCAATGACCCTGTCATCTAAGATCAAGGTCTGGCCTTCACCCTTCAGCCTTTCTGTCCTTTGACATCTGTATCCTATCAACCGCCAGTAATAGGCATTTAACCCCTAATACTCTTGAAATCTGTTATCTACTCTACATACTCATTTATTCTCATTAGATCATCAGCACTTTCTCATTATTATTGCTAAATCTTCCTCACTAATTTTTCTAAATCAAATTTTGACCCTGAAATCTATCTGTCTACAATTATTTGAAGAAAAATATAAAATGGTGAACTAACCTTATTATTCTTATGCTTAAAATATCTAATACCTTCTTATCAACTCTAAAACTGGGCTGAGAAGGGCTCTTTCTTTTTTTTTTTTTTTTGGTACCAGGAATCAAACTCAGGATCTTGCACTTGCCAGGCAGGTGCTGTGCCATCGAGCTATATCCCCAGCCCTCTAAAATAAAGTCTACAGTGTGTTCTGTATGTGAGCCTTCCAGCAGGAAACAAATGCCATACTCAAAAGTCAGTTTGAGGAGGTAAAAACTGAAGAGAAACTAATAAAGGAACTATTCAGCAGGATTTTGCAGAGTTAAAAACAAAACAAACAAAATCCCAAAAACAAAAGAATAACAAGAACCCAGTGAGACACCAAGAGGGCTAGCAGCTCCTAAAATTCTCACTAGCTCTGGTTTTAAGAAAGCATGAGTGATGTAGCAGAACCTAACAAAAGCTAGAACCAAGACAGAGGTGTCACTAGAAGGTAAAAACTTAGGGTAGTGCATCCTTTGAAATCACAGGCCTACCGAGAGGGAACCCAGAGATAAGAACTCAAACTTCTCCCACTCAGCAGGCTCTTGGCTGTACCTCCCAATGGTCCAAGACCAACGCTAGTCAAAGGGCAAGATTGTCTGTCTTTCTGCCCATAAACGTCATCTGGACTTCCTTGGGGAAGAGATTGGTGACTTTGTAGCACAGAAAGCTACTGAAGATTTTTTGTGAATGGCTCCTGCCTAACAATACTCTTCTATTACTTCTTAATTTGAGTGTCACACCATAAGTGATGCTACACTGATTGTTGTTTTCTAAATATGTATGTTGTTTTCTGTTACATACATTTATTCTAATTATTTTTTCTACCTAAAATGCCTTTTCTCTCTATCTCAGTAATTTTCAACTATACGGGTATCTTGGTTACTTTTCTCTCATTACTGAGACAAAATACCTGACACCCAGAATTAAGGAAAGAAAGGTTTATTTAGCTCACAGTTTGTGGAGGTTTCAGTCCATACTCAGCTGGCTCCCAAGCAGAGAGACAGATGGAAGAGGGCAACCATTCATGGCAGTAGAAAACAGCAAAACAACAAGAGCAAAAAAGGAGGTGTGGCAGCAGGCAAGTCTCTTTCCCTCCCTTATAGTGTATGCAATCTACCTGCCCTAGGGTGGGTGTAGCACTCACACCCATGATCCCAGCACTGGACTATGAATCAATCATAAACCCTAGAAGCCCACCCCATGACTGCATGAGGCTTTGGGGTGACATCTAGACACAAGCCATAACGAAAGGATTCTCTTTGTCCATGTGATGTTTGGCAATATGCAGAGATATTTTTGGTTTTGTCATGACTAGGGAGGGAGATGTGTTACTAGCATCTACAAATCAAAGCCAAAGATGCTGCTCAATATTGCACAATGTCCACAACAAGAATTATGAAGCCCAATAAGTGAATATTGCAAAGGCTGTGAAACCCTGATGTAATCTGTTGGCCTAACATCAACCCTTAAGGTCCGTTGGATTCTGCACCACTATCATTTACTGTAGGCAAGGCGTCCTTGGTTTTCCCCTCCTGAGTATTCTTATAATTCTTTGTGCAAATTTCTAATTTTGTGTACACTTATTGTTTATTCTTTTTCTTGTCATCTGCAAATATAAACCAGCTTTCCCAGCTAATGAGGATAAATACTGTCATATTGGTGCTAGTTTTGACATTTACTGGGCAGTGCAGATCTCCCTCAAAAGCTTCCCTCTCTATTTCCCTAAGCCTAGAAGGTTTCTCACATGCTCTTGGAAACAGAATTTTTGTGGTCTTGCTCACTACACCAAAGTTACAGAGAAACACTCCATACTACGGTGGCTACCCTCATACTCCTGTGAAAGATGTGCTCCTGACCTGGGTGCCATCCACAGCTACAAAGCTCTCCAGGTGCTCAAAGTCTTTGCAGTCCATCAGTTCTGTGTGAACTGGACATAGACACAGAGCAGAGAGAATATGCCAGTTCTTCACTTTGTTTCCTGGGCTCCAAAACAAGTGGTTTACAATTTGGGGCAGTATAAAGCCACACACAAATGTGCTTTCTGTGCCTCTAATGTCTTTCTCTTCCGAGCACCAAGATTTTACAGCAAACCCTTGCACCATAAATCATTACCTCAATGATTTTGGTAGCATTATTTACATTCTGTAGCACATGTATTTTTTACCACATAAGAAGGCATTAGACCCTGGACAGTCTCCAGACATTTGCTAGTTTAAATTTGCGAGGGAGTCACAGGAGACCTGTGGGATTTGTGATGAGGAGAAACAGCAAAACAGCCAGTTACTGTGATAGACAAGGTGAGAAGAGTGTGTGTCTAATAAGCAAAAAGAGCAGCACAAGCACAGTGTCAGTTATGCTGAGATTGCTTTTTAAAATTTTGAAATAGTTTTACACATGCAGAAAAACTGCAAAAATAGTACAGAATTTTCTCATATACCCTGCGTTAACTGTAAAGTTAACATTTTACATAACCATGATCCATGTATCCAAACTAAGAAATTAACACGGATATGCACTATTAACTAAGTTATAAAACTCAGGCTGCACTTTCCGTTCTAGGATCTGCTCTAACGTGTCCTGTTACAGGACATCCTAGCTTCTCTGTAGTCTTTCCCAACCCCTTACAGTTCCTGGACCCTTGTTTTCATGACCCTCAAAGTTTTGAAGAATATTAGTTAAGTGTTTTGTAGAATGTCCCGTAATTTTGCTTTATCTGATATCTTCCCATAAAATTATGGGGTTTTGGAAAGAGTGTCACAGAAATGATATGCCTTTCTCAATTTAAAATATAAGAGGCACATGCTGTTTGTTTGTCTTATTACTGGTGATGTTAACCTTCATCACTGGTTGATGGTGGTAGCTGC